TGTTACGTCCAAATTCCGGAAAAGTGGGTTTTTAGAGAGAGAGAGAAGGGAGTAGAAAAGGATGGAGCGTGGAAGGACGGTCAGACTCTAGTCTCGCAGATATTTGCCTGGAAACAAACACCGGCGAGTCGAACGCACCCTTTTTTTTTGTCCGCTTCGGAATATGGGTCAACGTCTCGTGAAGTCGCTATGACGCCTGTTTCCTACGGGCGGTGCGATCGTCGGTCCGAATTTCGAGTCAGGGAAAAATCCCTTTCACTCAGGAATGGACCACGTGCAATCTTTGAAAGGGCAAGGTTCGGTGTTTACGAGGTCGTTGTTCTATCAGGCGGGTTTTAAAAATAGAGAATGAGAGCGAGACAAATGATCGGTAACATTATTTATTATGGCTAATTGACAATAGGAAATTACGCAATTATATGCTAATCGTTTATATAATAATATTGTATTTATTACATCTACTCTATACATTATGGTTATTAGCACACAGTATGTCTATTTCAAAAACGGTTACGCTTTTATAATATCTAAACTATACATTGTGTAAAAAGGGGGGGGGATCGGATAGATTTGGGTTAACATACTTCAAGGATGGAAACGGAGGAAGGGGGGAAAAGATTATGGAAAAATCTTACAGGCACTAATATTGCATTGGGGGAATTTGGGAGGAATACGGGGATATTTGAGGTAGGGCTTCGACCGGTAATGGCATTTCGAATTTCATAGGGATCAAAGTAGTGAGGGCCGATAGTGTAGGCCCCCTGAGGGATAGATGCGGCGGTTACCCGCGGGAATTGAGAGATGAGTGACTCGAAAGTGTCACTCTCCAGGATCCGGAAGTGGGATCTAGGTGGGGGTGGAGGAATTTCCTCTAGGAATTCCACGCTGTCCGTGGAGTTCGTCGGAGATGGACTTCTGGGGGGAGTTGGGTGGAACGAATCGGATGAAAGTGGATGCAAATCGGGAAGGATTCTTTCTGTCAGTGCGTCCGAAAACGCAGGTGAAGGAGTTCGAGGGGGAGGAGAAGGAGGTGCCTGAGGTGGTGAAGGCGAAAGTGTTTGAGGCGGAAGCGGTATTGGGGAAGCGGTATCGGGGTGATTTGCCGGCGGAGCCGGTGGTGACCCGGATGGTACTGGTGGTAGGCGACCTTCGACCGGACGATTCTGCTCTTGTGAGCTTCCGAGATACCTCTTGAACTCTTCGTCTAAGAGTTTCCGTGCCTCCCGGTAGGCCCGGCTTCGTAGCCACCCTTTGAAAGAACGGTTCGGACGCGGCACTATAATTTGATGTAAATTATAGTGGTTGGATTTTTTTTATATATATGCGGGTGAGTGTGTATGTGTGTATATAGGACTTACTATTGTTGTATTCTGCGGATGTGGGTAGATCGAAGTCGTTGGCCTCAGGACTCCTCGGAAGGTTGGCACTCGGATGTAGAAGCTTCGGTCGAATCACTTCAACGCGTATCGCGTATTGGCAACCTCGGGGATGGAGTTTAACCGGTGACTTTAAAATGAGTACCGAATGAATATGACGAGTCCCGAAGGAATAATGATTGTTACGACTTATTGAGAAGTCACTAATAACAGTCGAGTCCCGAAGGAGAAGCCTAGTAACAGTCGAGTCCCGAAAAAGAAGTGACGCTCCTCGTGGAGGACCTCTCCTTTTATATGGCGAGTTAGTGACGCCGAGAGCGGAGTACGTGTACTGCTGAG